GTGCACAAACTTAACCATTTGGCAACGGGGCCAGGCCCTACTCCCGCCTTTAATAACATCTTTGTTGAGATATAATTTACATATCACATAATTCATCCATTTAACCCATTAGCTGTCACTCCCCATTTTTCTCAAACCCTCTCAGCCCTAGGCAACCACTAGTCTACTTTCTGTCTCAATAGATTTGCCTATTCTGGACACTTCATAAAAGTGGAATCATACAATATGTGATCTTTTGTAACTGTCTTCTTCCACTTAGCATAATGTTTTCAAAGTCTATCAATGCTGTAGCATTTATCAGTACTTTGCCTTAAGCCTCTTACAATAGCTGTCTTATGATGTCTGGAATTTCCTTTAAAATATTCTAAGAGAAAAAAGGGATGGGATATATTAAACAAGATTGGCAAAATGTTGATAATCATTGAAGCTGAATGATAGGAATATCATTCATTAAACTACTCTATTTTTATATATGTTTGAAATTTTCCATAATAAAAAAATTTATTTAAAGACAGTTGTCTTTCCATCCTTTGGATTTCAGTTTAAACAATACTTGTTCAGAGAAAACCACCCTACTTTAGAGAGAACCTCCCATTTCTCCTGCCTAGTACTTATCACAAATTTTGAGTATAAAAATGTTTATTTCATTTATTTATTGTGAACACTCAGTAGTGAAACAGAACACATCTAGAATCTAGCACAGCTTCTAACCTACAGAAAGCACGTGAACACAATAAACGAAATTAGGGTGGACAGCTCATTATTTCTTAAGGCCTCTCCCAGAGCAACTTCTTGCAAAAGTGAAAAACTAGTGATCTTACTCCCCTCATCATCTGCTGTGGTCAAACTTTCCTATTACTATAAGTAGTAACATTTCATATACTATAATCATGAACACTCAGAAATTTCTTCAGCTATCCATGTTTCTTTTTGCGACTATTCATTCCTTTAGACAAGAAAGCTCACACAACTGGGTTTGAATTAAGAGGATGGCATGTTTGTACCATGGTCTCACTGACATAGCTGGTCTCTCCTCTCTTAGGCAGGCTTTTAGCAGAAAGATCCAACTCCAACTTGGTACACAAGTTTGTTTTATCGGATTTTTAGAACCTTTGTTATCAACTAAATCATCCATTAATGTCAACAGATTTTTTATGGATTAAATATACACAGAAGTACATTTTACAATAGTAACTCCAATCCAATAGTAACTCCAATAGTAAAGTAACTCTAATCATTCTTTGTATTTGCTCATTTACATTATTTAAAAGGATCTTTTATATTATCCTTGCTGTTCTTTAAGAAATTAAGTTAAACATCAAGAGGACTGGCACAACCAACATGTCTACTTATGGACAAAAGTCTCCCAGAGACCATAAAAACTCATGTGAAAAGAAACAACACAACATATATTTTAACCAGGTGTGCTGCTAACTGTGTAGGCAAATATCTCATATGACACTACCCATGATACTAGTTTCTAACAGGGGCTGCAGTTCTGTAGGAAAACACATATCAAAGGCTCTGAAAGCCAGAATACCCAGAAGGAAATGCTAAGATTCTCTGGTGTCATTTTGGTTCCACAGGGGTAATCAATATTTGTCTACTGGAAAACACCTCTAAAAAAAAAGTGGGTATCAATGGGAAATATAATTGGATATTTAAATACTTTATATACAATCAATATTCATTTTCAAATCCTATTTTTTCACATCTAATTCTTCTTCTTCCCTGCTACTATTGCTTCACCTACACCCCTGGAAGCACTTGGTTTGCCAAAGAGTCTAGCCTCCAATACTTGTTTCTCCATCTAAGCCTTCAACTGATGTCCAAGTCCTCTCCTGTTTTCATTACTTGTATCATGAAACCCTCTTTCTAAAGCCTGACATATCTGTGTCGAGGAGTCTTATCCTCTGTTTCAAAAGCCATTCATCAGGGCAGGACAGACCATCTCATTGCCAACTCTCCTCTCCAGCTGGCCCCCACTGCAAACGCTCAGAGACATATGCTTCAAGCAACCTGGTCATGCCAATCTCACCTTGAAGCTTCTTTCAAGTTGAGTCACATACCTGGAATGTCTTGCTTCCCACTCCTCTTCCATCACCCAAATAGATCCTGAAATTCTACCTATTCTAGGTTTATCAGGAGAGGTGAAAGATTCCACTGGCCTAAATCTTGCTAATAGACCTCAAAACTGTCACAGATAATTCCCCTTGCTTTCTATTCCTAAAATATTTACCAACGTGTATATCTAACGCATAGAATACGAGTTATAGCTAAAACTTAATCATAGGTAAAGTAACATACATCAGGAAGTTCACTTTTTATGCTTTTAAGGGAATGTCTAAATTTTGCTTGGAGGAAAGAAATCAAGCATTCATATAATCCCTGATCACACAAATAAATGAGCATGAGGAAGTCTGTCAGTTCGTCAAATTTATACTATGCAGTGTTGACCTAGATGAGTATATTTCAGGGAATGAGAGTGGATATGAGGTACACCTGCCCCATCCCACATGGCTATGTCACTAGATTTAAGGAAGATGACTTGTCTTTTTCAACTTTTGGAATAGAGGACTAAAATGAGAGCACAGAACAAAATTTTTCTGCCTGTTCTTTTCTCATTACAGAAAGTCAACATCAGTCTTTTAGTCCTCTCTCGCACATGCTCTCTGTCTCTCTCTGTCTCTCTCTCACACACACACACACAGACACACACAGAGACACATCTCATCTTCTTCATCTACAACTATCAAACCACAGACATAGAGAGCAAGGAACAAGTCATTCTAGGCAGTGTTTAGCTTGGCACTTGTTGCAAAGATGATCATGGCTTCTGAAAATGATTAAGTCAAAACTTAAAAATAGATAAAGGGAAGGTAACATGAAAATAGGAAGAATAATTATTTTTTCAGGAGTTTAGAAACTGTGAGTGATATTATATTCTTGATGTTTACTATTTAATATACTACAATTTGTAAAAATAAAATAACTTTTTAAAAAATATGATGCCAAACTCTGGCCTGCATAGATGTGGAATGTTACATAAAAACAATCCTCATCAACAAGCATGTAATAAGTACTAAATACATGTAGGTCACAGTGTTAGGCACAAGAGACAACTTTCCTCAAAGAACTTATATTCACTTGAAGAATCAGGTCATACAGAAAAGACAGGAAGAATGTAAGACAGTCTAAGCAGAGGAAAACACTGCCTGCAAGGCCACTGGGCAAGGCTTCCTAGAAGATGCAAGGCTTGAATCAGGCCTAAATGCATGAACTAAGGACAGGCCTTAGATAAGTAAATGACAGGAGGGGTGGATAGTACTTGCATTGGCCAGAGAGTGGAAAAGCACAGAGATTGGTCAGGGGAAGGTGAGGTGGGAAAAATGGAGATGATGAGGCTGGTGAAACAAGAGATGCCAGAAGATGGGAATCCTGAATAGAGGAGGGTGACATGGACAAAGAGGTGTTTCAGAAAGATGAAACAACCGAAATGGAAAGGGAGGGATGAGGCCTGAGAAACTAGAGGGAACATAGTGACAAGATCTGGTGACTGATCAGTGCATAAGAAGAGGAGAGGACAGCCCTATTGTCTACCCTCCAGATGGTGTCCATTTTCCATGTAAAATGGTCCATTCCCTATTTCTTCCTGAGAGTGGTCAATTTTCTAGCAACATGAGAAAAAAATATATGGTACAAAATGATTTCTAGGAATATTATTTTCTACACTTTAAATTTAAAAATAAGAAATGTTAAAAAATGTTAAATGGTATTTATGGAAACATGGTTTAAAAATAATCAACTACACAAATGTTTTTCTTCACCATGAAAACAAAACTGACTATACGATTCAACCATGAAAGAAAGTTTCAATGGTAACTCAAATATATATTAGGTTCACATTTGCTGTGGAATAAATAATAAAATACTGTGAATTTAATATTATTATCTTCTTTTCAGAACTTAACTACAAAGTCTGAGACAGCCTGATGAACACTGAACATCACCCAGTAAGCAGCCAAAAGACGAAGGTTCCAGACTTGACTCTGACTTCTAACTTGAGATCACACAGTAAATAAATTACTTCATCTCTCCCAGCTTCTGCAAATGAACACCAAAGCAACTTACATTTGTAGAATGCTTTTGGTTTTCCTCTCTCTTTATACTAGAACTTCACTAACACTCTTGAAGTTGGACAAGATTGATTTTATTACCTCATAATTTACAGATGAGGATACCAGACATAAGTGATAAAGCAGTGATTACAATCTAGGTCTTTGGCTCTAAATCTCATATTCTTTCTGCTACATTAGGCTTATCCTACCTACTTCATAAAATTATTTGAACAAATCATAGATATGGAAATGCTTTAGAAAGGTTACAGCATTACACAAATGAAAGCAATATTATTTTGTTTGAGTGTGACCAGGAAAGAATGCAAGTTTTATGGGGCCTAGAGTCTACACAAGTTGGGGATCCCTCTTTAAAAAAAAGAATACAAAAATAAGGTAAAGATTTTGGAGGGGGCCCATGAAAGTGAGGGTCCCTGAAACTTAAGCTTCATTTAGCTTCAAGGTAAATCTGCCTCCGGATGTAGAACAAAAAATTCACCAGTCAACCTACTAAGATCAAGAATTGCCCTCTAAAACCTAAATTCTACCTTCTAAGGAGTATGAAAAGAACAGTGGATACAAGACAAAAAAACATGTATGCTTGGCCTTTATTCTGTCAAGATCATTTGCAATAAACCATATAACAAAAATTTCCAGGTAGAAAGTCTTTGCTATGTCTTTATTAGGATTAGAAGAACAAATTACCAACTAACAACAAAAAATAATTATAATGAAAGTGATAAGAGAATTATTTTGCTAAAATAATTAAGCTAGAACATCATACCATACAATAATTATTGTTTTACATACACACAAGTATAAACACACACACACTCGTATTTACTCACAATTTGGCAAGCAAAAGATCTCATTAAAAAAATTTACCTCGTCTCCGCCCATAGCTCCTGGCTGCATGTAAACACAGAAGAAAACCATGGGTATTTGTATCAAAATGGTGAATTTAAAAATAAAAAAATATTCACACAAACCTTTTCTATGTATTCTCAGAATTAATTAATCTGGAGATACTGTTCAACTTGACTGCAGACATATATAAAAAAAACTTTTACGAAGCACAAGTTAAATCACAATCTTAAAGAGAAATTCAACTGGACGTGGCAGCCACTGGAAAAGATACAATGGGTGCTTAAGTTTCACAAGTCTTATAAGGATTTATATCGTGGCCCATTATCTATATCATATATAGAGAAATAGAGTTATTTTAAAATTTTTTCAGATTTTTACATCTTCATTTGTACTATATATTACCATCAGACATTAATTTAAAGAAAAAACCATTCATTCTAAATAACTAAAAACTGTAGTGGGTGGTGGTCATTCTGAGTTTCTCCTCACACACACACACATACATGCACACACACTTCATAAATACAGTCCCTGAAAATTGTATAGATATTTTACACACAATTAACTCTTGCTTTAGAGAATGTGTTTCTGTAAAATTTTCAGTGAAGTTTCTCTTAGTCTCCCCATTTACTTTCCATAGTATCACAGATAGGGAGAAAACATATCTTTTTCATCTAGAAAGTGAACTGAAAAAGTAGTAAGGGATTAAGGTACTTGGTACATCCCAAGCCATGCTGAAGAATAGAGTGCATTGAACATTTTCTTCCCCTTCAAAACTCAAGGCCCACAGAATGCATTGTTACAGTGTTTAATAGAGCCAGACTGTGGTATCATACATATATTGCTAGGAGATCCTGTCATCTAAAATGATTTTCAAAGTGGAAAGTTTTTCAAATTTGAAACCTCAAGTTCTATAAAAATAAATGAGAACTGTAACTCATTTTTTAAAGCATAAAACGTCATAATAAAAGATAATTTGGGGTTACATTTACAGTATAAGGTAGTACTAAAGAACACTACTTCTCTCCTAGGAAAAGAACTCAGACTTTTCAGGTGGAAAGTTGAACTACCAGTTGGCCAATCTCATCATCTACTAGTTCCCACTTTTCTTCAGATATCATACTCACCCTTGCCACACAACTTTGGCTTCTTCACTTTCCCTTTACACAAATATTAAAAAGGATTATCCAATTCAAGTTCTACTTGCTCCCTAGCTCCTTCCATCACTATAATTCTCAATGAAAAACATCTCTTCTGAATTTACAAAGCAATTACTATTTAATCACTTACAAAGGGAATGAATCTCAAAAAAAAAAAATTTAAGGAACTTTTGCACTTTTCATTATGTGGAACCTGGAATTCATCTCCCCACAGAATGTATAATAAATGGTAGCTTCCTAGCGTGGCCTCCCAAAAAGTCTACTTCATTTATAATAATATAGGTGAATCAATACTCATAGACAACATTTACAAAGAGATTAAATAGGTTTTGACATCCTACACTTATTTCTTTGTTCCTTCCCTCATCCCCAATGATGTCATGCTGCCCAACACCCTAACTGCAAAACCTCTATTTAGGGAGGAAATAAAACATTCTGTATTTCAAAATTATTCATTTCTCTTCCAAACAACAAATTCCCATTCTTTCATTATTGATTTCTGGCCAGATACTCAATGCAAAAGAATCTGATTACAATACTAGGTACAAATGACTCATCAGACCTTAACACCCCTAAAGGATAAATGAGAATGGTGTTCACTCAAGTCTTCAAATGCTAAATATTCAGGTAATAAAGAACATGAAGTGAATAGATGCAGACAGGCTTGGGGGTAGAGTAGAGCATCCTGAATTGGGGAGAGGGGGAAGAGTTGCAAAAGACATACTTGGGAGCTTTGGGATTTTTTTAAAAGATTCTATCCTGGGGCTGGCTCCATGGCCAAGTGGTTAAGTTCACGCGCTCCCCTGCAGGCGGCACAGTGTTTCATTGGTTCGAATCCTGGGCACGGACATGGCACTGCTCATCAGGCCACGATGAGGTGGCGTCCCACATGCCACAACTACAAGGACCCACAACTAAAATATACAACTATGTACTGGCGGGCTTTGGGGAGAAAAAGGAAAAAAATAAAATCTTTAAAAAAATAAGATTCTATCCTATCTATTTTTTTATTTAGCTGAAGAAGATTTGCCCTGAGCTAACATCTGTTGCCAATCTTCCTCTTTTGTATGTGAGCCACCACCACAGCATGGCCACTAACAAGTGGTATAGGTCTGCACCCAGGAACTGAACCCAGGCCACTGAGGCAGAGTGCACCAAACTTAACCACTAGGCCACCAGGGATGGCCCATACCTGCAAGTTTTAATCAAAGTTCAGTTCATGATTTTTATTGATTCTTCTCTTTTTCTCTAATCAAAGACAGTAAATTGGTTCATGTCAGCCTGGGAATTCTGACATCATGGAGGCAAGATGGCATATGGAAGAGGCAGCCAATTTAAAGAAGTGATCTGAGATGCTTCAATTTGCTTTCATCATTCATTGTGGCATTTAATTATGTGCTACCTTGGTCCTAATTTCAGTATTTTATCTATAATCTCTATAGTGATTATTATTATAGCAGCTAAAACTTAATGGTATTTACTATGCACCCAGAACAGTTCAAAATGTTTTACATGTATTAATATCATTTAATACATCACAACGTTATGATGTAAGTATTCTTACTAGCCTCTCCTTACAGATGAGGAAAATGGGGCACAGAATTAAATATCTTTTCTAAAAATCACACAGCCAGGAAGTGGTGGACTTGGAATATAAATCTAAGCACTCTGGATCCAGAGTGCACACTTTCAACCACTTCACCATACTGTTAAATTTCTAGGGGGCAAGGTCTACATTTTGTACTTTTTTTAATATCCTCTAATGCACCTGGCAGAATGCTCTGTCCCAAGCTGGTATTCAACAAATATGGCTTGTTAGCTGAGTGCACAATCAAGGGAGGGAGTAATACACGCCTTGATGGGCTTTCGAATGTAGGTCAACTCTGTTGGTGATTAAAAATTTGCTCATATGATGGCCATTTGCAAATAGACTAATTAGAGTCAAACTCTTCCCTAAGGGAGAAGTAATGAAATGAACACCAAGGAGAGAAATTTTGGAGCACAAAAGTAGTGCTTTCCCCTGAGAACAAACAGGACTTTTAAACAAGAAAGAATATTGAATATATAAACTATATGAGATAGCACAAAATGACCCCACATAGAAAAAAAAAAAAGAGAGAGAGAGTAATGTAACTAATTCCATCTATATACTATATTCTATGCTAGTATAAATTCATACCAGATATAACATACCAGATGTGATATACTTTCAAAGTCCTATCTACTTCCTCCAAGAACTTTAATACTTGATTCTCAATCATCATCATCACAGATAAAATTATTTTACCATTTTATAAGCACTAAACAATTTTAGGCCTCAAAAAAATTACATTTAATTTGTAGAAGTCAAGGTCGTGGTACGCTTGGCTAGGGGTATTAACAGGAAGGGAACCTGAGAGGGTTCTGGGTGTTGATAATATTTTGGTCTTGATCTAGGAACTGGTTATATGGTTGTGTTCAACTTGTGATAATACATGAAGCTATACGTTTATAACCTGTGCATTGTTTGGTATGTATATTATTCTTTAATAAAAAACAAAACATTACAAATATTGTAGATTGGTTCACAGGATAAAAGGTTACAAGATTAATGTAGAAAATCCAAAATGCTAACATTTTTTGTAGTCTTTAAATCATAAACCAGAATATTCCAAAATTTTAAAAAACTAGACTTTCAATCCATCAGAATAAATAGAAAAAGGCACATGAACTTTGTAGTGGGATATGCCGAATTTATTCTGAAAATAAGTTTACATGATGAATGACTAGCACATTGTGAATGGCACTCTCATGTTAATGGTATGACTTTGTTAGGCATATGAGGAAACACAATAAAATGGATCATCTGTTACTCCTTATGACTTGGCCTGCACTCAGTTTTAAACAGTTGCACTCATACATGTGATTCCCCAAGGGCATGTTATGATCTGATTTTAAAATCTAAACTAATTCTTCAACTACATGGATTCATCCAAATTCGCTGAAATTTCCCTAAGCAAAGTAACATCATATACAGATTCCACCACAGAGGCTCAAAAATGAGAGAGAGAGAGAGAGAGATTGATCTCCATTCTATTGTGTATCAAAGTAGCATGCACCATTTCAGAAACTTTAAGCAGAGTCCCTGAGGTGCTATACTCATGAAAAACAAATGAACAGGATACAGCGACCTTAGGATAACATTTTACTCACTGGCTTGGAAATATCTGTCAAGACTGTTAAAGTCAACTGTAACAACAAACTGTTAATTACTTTCCTTGCAATAAAATCAGTTTCTTAAAACCCCCTGCAAACACTTTTTAAATATCATTTCAGCAGGCAAAATTAAATTCTATTCGAACATCTAATGGTTCCTTTCAGCTTCCATCTAAGTATTAGTCACGTGAAAAATTCCAACTAAGATGGGTTAAAATCTTAAAGTTAGTACAAAAATGTCCCCTTTTCCCTAATTAGACTGTAAATTCCCAAAGAGGAGAAGTGATGAAGTTTGTCCCATAAATTCTCCTCTTCTATCTTTTTCTTCATAATGTCAGGTAAAATAGTTTTAGCCCAGTGAGTCTCAATTCTGGCAAATTATAATTGAAAGGATCAATTTCTCCATAAACAATATGAACTTAGCAGGTAAAAATGATCCTTGAAGGGATGGGATACATTTTCATATGCTACATTCACATAAAGTATTTGGACATTTTAAAATCCCTTCTTCCTACCCTTCTCTCTTTGACTCTTACCCATTTTTCTCAGGAAAATCTTTTTTTCCATTCCATTTGCAAGCCTAAAAAGTAACACTAATAACTGACAAGCATACTACTACTGTTACTGACATACTTTATAAAGGAGAAGAAATATCATAAAGGAAAATATAATAACCTACTGATAATT